CCTCCTCCTCCTCCTCCTCCTCCTCCTCCTCCTCCTCCTCCTCCTCCTCCCTCCTCCTCCTCCTCCCCCTCCTCCTCCTCCTCCTCCCTCCCTCCCTCCAGCGGCCGCCGACTCTCCTCTTCATCTTCCTTCCCCCCCCCTCTCCCCCCTCCTCTCCCGGCTCCGGCTCCCCCCATTCGTTGCTCCTCGTCCTGTTGCCCCCGCGCCGCGGAGGCCCGGCGCCTTGTCCATGATGGCCTTCTCCCAGCCGTAGGCCTTGATCACCCGGATGCCTGGCGCTGTGACGGGGAAGGGAGAGGAAAAGACAGAGAGGGGCGAATTAAATGGAGGGGGCACGCGGGGGAGAACGTAGGAACAGTAATCTGACGATGGGGAGGGGATGGAGAAATCGGAGGCGGCGGCGAGGTATTCAATGAGCAGGAGAGGGGAGACTGGAAGATGAGAGGGGAAGAAGCGAGCGATGGCCGAGGTCTTGGAAGCCCCACCTCATTATGTCCCTTGCTCTCCCCTCCCGTCCACTCACCATCCTCCCCTGCCCTTTTAAACCCCAGTCTCTCTCTCTCTCTTTCTCCTCCTCCCTCCCTCCGCATTTCCAGAGGCCTCCCACATGGAGCCCGAGTTGACAGGGTCGGCGGATCGCGCCGCATCGCCGATGCATCGTCGATGCGTCGACGGTTCATCGGATAATTCGGCGATGCGGCGCCGATGTGGAGAACGTCGGGTTCCACATCGAACCGCATCGCCGATGCAATTATCGACGCTGCGGCGCGACCCTCCGACCCCGTCTACTCGGACCCCATCTGGGAGGCCTGGACCTTCACTCCCCCTGCCTCCACCCATCGCACCCCCCGTCCCTTCTCTTCTCCCCCTCCCCTTGAGCCCCGCCCCCTCTCTTGTTTCCCCCCTCCTGCCGCCCACGCCCCCCATTCCTGCCCAGGCCATTCGGAGTTCTGGCTGGCATGCTGGCGTCTGCGGCGGCGAGCTGCTGCCCGTGGCCTGTGAGGACGTCGCTGATAAGCTTCACGCGCTCGTCAGTGGCCTTGACCATGAACTTGCGCTGGTTAAATGCCTGGTAGGTGGAAGAGGGGAGCGGGTGTTTCTCCGATGAGCCAATGGTGATCTGCCTGGTTGTTAGTCTGAACCAGTTAGCACAATCGGATTCTGCTGAATTGGTTCTGACTGGATCGGTGCCCTCACCTGACCCTCTGTATTCCTTTATGCTTCCGTCTGCTATCCTGGCGAATGCCCCTCGGACTCCTACAGGTTCAATAAGAACGCATTGAAAACCATTGGGAACAATATGAGTTCATGTGGTGCCATAGGAACCCGTAGGAGCCCACGGGCCCTGGGCATCGATGAGGCGCGATAGGAAGTCATACGGACATGTCTGGGACCAATCGGAAACTATATCTGCGAGCTTCATTACTAAGGAATCCACATGGACATGCGTCAGCACGTGCGAATACATATGAACGTGAGTTTGCTCTGTAGGAGCATCTGGGGACCCATGGGAATTCAAAGAAATACCAGGGGATCGCCGAGAGCCGATAGGAACCCATCGTGATCTCCAGGAATCAACTGGAACCCATCATGTCCCCAGGAGTCCAATAGAGCCCAGGACGATATAGGTTCCTAGGAACTCATGAGTCCGTAAGATCATCCAGGATTCGATGCGGTGAGGGCCGTGGACAAGGAACCATTGGATGACACATCCAAGGTCTGAAAGATCAGTGCAGCACCAGTGGAGGCTTGGCCATGGACATCACTGCCGACCTCATCAGACCAGGAACCCTGCAGGGTCTGAAGCCTCCTGGGCGTATTCCTTCACGAACGCACCCTTCGTACGTCGCAATCAGATCCCTTGCGAATCGTGTGGAATACGAAAGGCTCCCAAAAGAGCCACCAAAAATACGATGTGGGGGCATACTGGTCAACGGGATCCGACCGTGACCTACATAATCTAAACACATCCTTCCACTCCACTACAAGAGCCACCCGAATCCTTACGAGGTGAGTGGAACCCATATGAGCCCGTGGGTGTCCACAGGACTTTCGATGCAACGATCGGGGTCTATTGGGCCCAGCAGAGTCGGGGGAGGAACGCCCCCCCTCCGAATCCGAACTCCTCCTCGCTCGTCGCTGCTCGTTATCCCTCCTCGCTCCTCCTGCTCCTCCTCCCCCTCTTTCAATGTTCATAGGGCATCGGAACTTCAGCGGCGTCCCTGCCACGCAGACTCATTACTGCGGCGTCGCGGCCAACACGGCGAATGAGAGGTGTACAAGAATGAAGGTAGAGACACCGTGCGGACATACGTACCCACTGGGGCCGTAGCCGGGGCTTCCTCTGGAACGCGAAACGTGAGAGGGGCACGCCGACGTGAGCGCGGCGAAGTACTGCGCAGAGCCCCACTGGGGCCGTAGTTGAACACAAGATGGGGCAGGAAGCGTGCAAGGAGTGAGCTGAAATAAGCGTGGCGGCGCCTTACTTGCACCATCTCGCACCCCTTCTCCTCCTCCTCCCTTTCTGGATGTCCTGTTTTCCGTGTTCTCTTTCTTGTAGATCGTCGTCGTCCTCATCCTCTTGCTCCAGCTGCTGCTCCTCCGTTCTCTCCCTTCCTGGACAAGGGGAGAGGGGATGCGAAGGGTGAAGGGTGCAAGAGATTTGTTGAGCATGTTCGAGTCCCCCATTGGCATAGGCGATCGGGGCGCCATCATGCAAGAGGCGCAGCCGCGCGAGGCATGCGATCCCTTCTTGGGCGACCTGGCCGTTTGGGCTTGCATAGCTACGCAACCACTCGGGGGGCCCCGTCAAGAGTCAACTGTGCACAACTGAGGGGAGGGGAAGGCGGCACGGAGCCTTCGGCACCAGGGGATGTCGGTGGGCGGGCAGACCATCCTCCTCCTCCTCCTCCTCCTCCTCCTCCTCCTCCTCCTCCTCCTCCTCCTCCTCCTCCTCTCCTCCTCCTCCTCCTCCTCCTCCTCCCCTCCCCTCCCTCCCTCCTCCTCCTCCTCCTCCCCCTCATCGTGTTCTCCTCTCTCTCCTCCCGATCTCCCCCTGACACTCCATAGTCCTCATCATGCCTCCTCCTTCTCTTCCTCTTCTCTTCCCTCTCTTCCTCCTCCTCCTCCTCCTCCTCTCCCTCCTCCTCTCTCCTCCTCCTCCCCCTCTCCTCCTCCTCCTCTCCTCCTCCTCCTCCTCCTCCTCCTCCTTCCCTCCCCTCGTCCTCGTCCTCGTCCTCGTCTCCTCGTCCTCCTCCTCCCCTCCTCCTCTCCTTCTCCTCCTCTCCTCCTCCTCCTCCTCCTCCTCCCTCTCCTCCCGATCCTCCCCCCTGACGCTCCATAGTCCTATCTCCTCTACTTCTCTCCTCTTCTCTTCCCTCCTGTCCTCCTCCTCCTCCTCCTCCTCCTCCTCCTCCTCCTCCCTCTTTCTCCTTGGCATTCCTCCTCATCCTCGTCCTCCCTGCTGCCCCCCCTCACTCCTCCTGGGGCCATGGGGCCTTCACCAAGCAAATGACGATGATGGGCATGCAGACCAGCATCCTCAGAGACCAGACGGTCGCGCCAACGGCACGCGCGGCACGCGCGCGCGGCACGGACGAGCGCCCTCCTCCCCCTCCTCCTCCTCCCATCCTCCTCCTCCTCCTCTCCTCCTCCTCCTCCCTCCTCCTCCTCCTCCTCCTCCTCCTCCTCCTCCTCCCTCCTCGCTCCAGCTCTCCTCGGCCGCAAGCAGGCCGCTGCGGGCACTGGCCGGACAGGCTGGCTCAGCGCGGCACGGGGATGTGCCACCCGCACCGCGCGGCGCTGCCGGCTCTCGACGGGGCGCAGCGGTCCGCACCCCTGCGGGGCAGGCCGGGGTCTGTTGGCTCACCCCCTGGCCGCCCGCGGCGGCGTTCCCCGCCGATGGCACAGCTGGCCTCGGGTCCGGCGCCCTCCTCTTTTTTTTTTTCCTTCACTCCTTTTTGCGCGCAGAAGGTCTGTCGCACTCGCGACGCCGCCGGGAAGTGGCGGACAGACGGGCCAAAGAGAGGGACCGCGGGCAGCTGGGTCCGGCGCCCTCCTCTTGTCGCTGTTGCTCCTCGTCCTGCCCCAGCTCGTGAAGAGGCCAGACGTCCCAGTCGCCCTGCCTCATCGCACAGGGGCGGCCTGGGGGTTGGTAGTGCGTCCTCGTTCGAGCTCGAGCCGGTTCGGTGGCTCCTGGCTCGTCGTAATGCCAGATCCATGCTGGGTCCCCCCTCCTGGGGGTCAACCCGTGCAAACAGTAATGCCCTGAAGCGTAAGAAGGTCGAAGCTGCTGTCTGGGGAGGGGTTGGGCACGCCCTCGCGAGTGAACATGGCTGACTTGAGGTGAACGGCCAGACGGATTGGGAGGGGGAGGGGTAGGAGGGACTGTGGAGGGAAGGGGAGGGGCCGAATTCGTGCAGCGCTTCACCCCGCGAGAAACTTGCTCACTAGCCCCGAGGAGATTGAGGGACTCATCCTGGAAGGGTGTCTCCTGCTCTGTGCGTGCACCATCGGCGCGACGTTTTCTTTACGGGGACGGGGGGCTTGGAGCATGGACCATCGATCATGCGCGAAGGGAGTAATGCGGGGACGGAGGCCCGATCTCCTGAACGCAAGCAATGCAGACGTGGGATGGGATGTTCACGCGAATCATACACCCTGCGAAATGCTTAAGAAATCATGGGTTAAGAAATTCATAGTCTCAGAACTTGGATAAAAACCCAACATTTCCATTGAAATCTCAGGATTCACATTGAAACGTTAAGAAAAATCGAGACTCTGGCCGAAAACTTGAGTTTTCTTAAGCATCGCCCAAGGTGTACAATGGTTGCTGGGGTGTCCCCTCCCCGAACGTCAAGTATTGGCACAGTGGTTGTGCCAGGTTTATGTGCTGGAAGCTATTCGGTTCACTCCATGTGGTGCATGCTACGCGGTACAATCTGGGTGTTGCGCTGTGCGTGGGAGCACGTGCGACGTGGTGCAAATTAGTTGATGCAGACGATGCTGTGCAATCGTGCACGCAAGGCATGGTTTGTGGTGTGCGCTATATGCGGTGCACGCTGTGTGGTACGATCTGTGTCAGGCAGCTACAGGGTCCCAGATATGTTGCACACGAGGGACACATGGGCGCCCACCAGGCGAACACCTGGAGCTCAGAACCCACACGAGGCGCCAGAGGGCGCCAACCAGCCAACAACCTGGAACTCCCAACCAATGCCCTTAGACACGAAAGCAAGCGCAACTTGGTACAACCGTCGACACGAAAGCAATCGTACAACCTCCAACCCATCAAGGCAGCGTCAACCTAGTGCCATGAGCAAGGGAGGAAACCCGACGCGGGACAGGTCACTTGCATCACTGCAGAGGCGGTTTACGACCAGGGCGCCCGGCGGCTGCTGAGCGAACGACACAGCAAACCCCACGAAGAGGCTCGGGCCCACCGAGAGGCCGAGGAGCATGAACGACACCTCACCGGCCCAGGCACCCTCCGTGGCCGAGGTCGAGAAGTGCAAGGCGGCCAGGCTGGAGCAATGCAGAGGGAGGGGGGTGGTCTGGGGCTGGAGGGAGGGGAGGGGACATGAGGCGGGGGAAAGGGAGGAGCGGGCCGAGGGAGGGGGGAAGGACGTGAGAGCCCAGGAAGGCCCACAGAGAGGCACAGGAGCACCACGAGGCACGGGACCGTCATCTTTCTCCCCTCCAACTGATCCCCTCCTGCACCTCCTCCTCCTCCTCCTCCTCCTCCTCCTCCTCCTCCTCCTCCTCCTCCTCCCTTCTGCACGCCCCCTTCTTCGTTGTCCTCCGCGCGCGCCCGCCCCGCCGCGACAAACAGCGGCGCCATCCACAGCCAGTGCATCATGGGAGCCGCCTGGGGCTGGGCGAGCGCCCCAAGGTGGAGGAAGAGGCAGACAAGATGTGATACTGGGCATCGCACCGGGGCAAGTGCACGAGCAGGGGCGCGAGGGAGTGGTGGAGGAGGAGCAGGGGTGGAGGAACGGGCGGGCGGGGAGGGCGAGGACGAGGACGGAAGGGGGGAGAGGGGGGAGAGGGGGGGGCACAGGAGGGATCGAACCAGGAACAAGGGCAGAGCAACAGGACGAGGACGAGGAGGGGGAGGGAGAGGACGAGGACGAGGAGGGCGAGGACGAGGAGGGGGAGGGAGAGGGGGGGGGCAGAGGAGGGATCGAGCGAGGAGCAATGGGGAGCGCAACGGGACGAGGAGCACGCGAGTGGCCACCAGGAGCAAGTGCTGACGCGGGAGGCGGTGCATCATGTATGACGATGGTGGTGCCAAAGAGGTCGAGGACGACAAGGGAATCGAAGGACCAGGATGAGGCGGAGTTGGGGAACTGGGAGCGTGTTGGGAGGGACGGGGAGGAGGGCCGAAGTGGGAGGAAGATTCTTCTGAAGGAGACTCCGGGCAAGGACTGATTCTTCTGTGGTTCCATCCGCGGAGAGACGAGAAAGAGAGAGAAAGAGAGAGAGAGATAGCGAGAGAGGGAGGAAGAGAGAGCGAGGGAGGGAGGGAACGAGAGAGAAAGGCAAGGGGGCGGGTGAGAACACACTAGGAGGGCAATGGCAGCCTGCATGATCTGCTGCGCATCGTTTGAGACGAGATTGCCGATGCCCCCAGAGGACGCCGATCCAGCACCTGGCAGAGGCTCCCATCCTCCTCTTCCCCTTCTCCTGTAAGATCACCCGATCTACCCCAGAGATGGCCACGACTGATAGGACAGAGTGTGGCGCAGAATCCACGAGACATTCTGTGAACGAGGACGGTACTGACTGCGCTTACAGGAAAACAGCATTAGCCGACGAGCTCCCAAGCCACCTCGGAGGGAGGACGCCCGCGCGCGGCAGCCACGCACCTTCCACAGCCACATGGTTTCCCCCTTGCAGGAGCGCAGGGACAGACGTTTCACGTCGGCGGCGATCGCAAGGGGCGACCGCGGGGAACCCGAGGGCTTGGATACCCTCTGGGGTTCCAAATCTGACCAAAACTGGCGCACACACAAACACACACACAAACACACACACACACAACACACACACACAAAACACAACACACACAACACACAATACACAACACACACAACACACACACAACACACGCAACGCACACAGAACGCCTAAAATAAGCGCTCCCAATTCCTGGGAAATCGTCTGGTACTGTGCTCCAGCCAGCGTCCACGTGAATGATGTGGCCCCGCAACAGGCTAGCACGAGTGCAAGAGATTCGCCGACAACTTTTGGATTTCCTCGGCGTGCGAGGTGGCTGCCCTTCCCCAAGTCCCTCTCCTGGGAGCCCGGTCCAAGAGTGTTGGAGGGGAGAATTCCGATCGACGGCCTGGCAGGCTCATGACGGTCGAGAAGTACTCTGGGAAGGCGCGTGATCTGACCAAGAGGTCCGCAGATAGCCTTAATACAGCCCCAGAGGCTCCCAAGACGGCACAAGAGAGCCCCAGGAGAACTTCCAAGAAGGCGTCAAGAGGTGCAAATCGCTGATTCCTCTGACGTTTTTTGTTTCGCATAGTTGACGTACTCGCTTTTTCAATCTTCAGGGCGTCTAACACAATCTTAGAGACCCTCAAGACTCTTCATGATCGCCCAAAAACGCACCAGAAGGCCCCCAAGAGGCCCAGAACTGCTCAAGAGGGCTCCAATACTGCCTGAACGGCCCCCAGGACTGCCAAACTCGAAGGAACCCCAGGAGCCCTCCCCCACAAGATGGCCCCCAAGACCTCCGACAGGCACCCGAGAGAACCCCCAAATGCCCTTAAAAAACCTCAAGATGCCCCACACCGACCCAACGGGGGGGACCTGGTTGAGCACGTTGCCGGGTTCCCCAGAGGTGCGCCATGCGCCAAAACACTTCTACGACAACGCTGCTCAACTTTGGACGCCCGACATGGGTACCGAAAAAATGGGTACGATGCCCAACAACAAATGTTGTCCCAAACCAACAGCGGCCGCTGTTGGGCAGGCGGCCTCCTGTCTCAAATGTACACAGGCCGCGGCGACACCGACAGCGAGTCCTGTTCAAAATGAACAGGAACCGCTGTTGGGCATCGTACCCATTCTTTCCGTACCCATTTCGGGCGTCCAAATCAACAGAGAAACTCCCGCGCTCCCACGTGGCCGGCGGCGCGGCGTAAGCCAGTGAGAAAAACAGGCCCGTAAGTGGCGAATTCCGTGGGGATGGCTGGCGGGACCCTCCTCTTGGTGGTCCCCAAACGTGGTGGTGAGAACACCCGGTGGTGAGTTTTGGGCGATTTGGGGAATGGTTTTCGAGCGCTGGCTGGCCCAGGAAACGCAAAACCTCGTGGCGACCGCGTGTCCCCAAACCCGGTGGTCTTTGGGGAAACGGGGTCACCACCGGGTGTCTCACCACCTGGTTTGGAGACCACCAATCCTCTTGCCAAGGACCTCGATCCGTCGAGAGTTCGCAAAGAATGCACGCGCAGAGTATCGGCCCGAGCGGGCCTACGATGCGATGTACGCGAACACGCTCGCGTCTCAAAACAGATGGACGATTCCGGAAACTTCGGATCCGACAAACATTATCATCTCTTGGGGGCGCGCTGGTCTTCGCCGGAGGGGCCGCACCCGCTTCACTTCCGCCAGCTTGCCCCTGCCTTCCACGGGCTGCCGCCGAGGAAGAGATGCTTACTCCTGCGGGCCCTCGCAGGCGAACCCCTTGCTGGAGCGCCCCACGTCTTGCTCGCGTCGCACTTGCTATTCCCCAGTTGGGCCCTGCTTGAAGGGCATCGGGCCCTGACTGTTTCTGTGCTAGGAGGCGGGTAGCGGTCGGAGCTCTCGGGCCTGAACTGTTCCAAGATGCCCCCCCAGATCGGGGGGGGTCCGCCCGTTGCTCGAAGATCTGTTTCTTCACCACGACGGGGAAGGGAGCGATACAGAGTCACACACAAAGTCACACAGACAAGCACAAGCATAAGCACAAACACAAACATAACCACAACACACATACGCACCTATATTCAGATGGGTGTACATATATATATGTATATATATATATATATATATATAAATCTATATGTGTGAATATACATATATATATATATATACACACCGGCCCCCTTGTGGGGCCACCAGGCTGTAGGCTCAGGGCTTGCTGTTCCCTGCGCCAGTTCCAGTTTCCCGTTTCCACTGTTGCAATTCTGCTTCTTGTTGCTTACTGTTCCTTGTTGTAAGCCGCGCGCGGGGGGGGGGGAACCGAAAAGCACCCTGGTTAGCACCTCCTGGGAAGGGGTCTCAGAATATCTGGGGGGTCGAGATTGACACCTCTCACGCAGATCGGCGGGGTCAGGGACGAACAACATATTTGATTTGCCACATGTCTTGAAATTCGGTGGCTTCCCTCACGCAGATCGGCGGGGTCAGGGACGAACAACACATGTGATTTGCCACATGTCTTGAAATTCGGTGGCTTCCCTCACGCAGATCGACGGGGTCAGGGTCCAAAAACACAAGGCCTTTGCCACATTTCTACAATTCGGTGGCTCTCCTAACGCAGATCGGCGGGGTCAGAGTCCAAAAACTCATGGGTCTTGCCACATGTCTAAGACTCGGTGGCACCCCTCACGCAGATCGCTGGGGTCAGGGTCGAATTAGGCGACGTACCCAACCCTTGCGCAATGCGGGGCATCAGTACATCAGGATTGCTACAACGGGGGCGATGACGTAACATGGACGCATGTGATTTTGCGAGCAGCAATCGGAAAGCTCGCAGGCCCCCGATCAAAATATGAAGGCGTCGTAGTGGTTACTAACGCAGCCCCCCCCCCCCCCAGGCACGGCGAGGTCTCGCTCAGATCCCCGCGGTGCCTCAGTCCGCAGGACCCACCAGCAGCCCTCGAAAGTGGCGATAGTGTCGCAGATCGCAGCCCCCCAGGGACGGCGAGGTCTCGCTCAGATCCGCGCCCTGCGTCAGTCCGCAGGACCCACCAGCAGCCCTCGAAAGTGGCGACAGTGTCGCAAATCGCAGCCCCCCAGGGACGGCACACACACACACACACACACACATACACACACACACACATACACACACAAACACACACACACACGCACAGACACACAACACAACACAACACACCACACCACAACACAACACAACACACACAGACACACAGACACACAGACACACAGACACACAGACACACACACGCACACATATATATATATATATATATATACGCACAGACACACACACACACACTCACTCACTCACTCACACACACAGACGGACACAGACACAGACACAGACACACACACACACACACACACGAGGCACGCACAAGACAAGAGGAGACAAGACGGAAGCCGGAGACGGGAGAAGAAGGAGAAGGACGCGACAACAGTGCTCTATTCAAAACGAATGCCCAACCAAGGAGGGTTGGGGAAAAAATTGGATTTGCCACATTTCTAGAATTCGGTGGCACCCCCCATGCAGATCGCCGGCGTTAGGGTCGAAAAACCCGTGCTAGTTTCCCCAATCAGAGCTTGCCTCTGTAGGGGTCGTAGCGGATTCAGATGGCGCCGATTTTCGCCGCACGCCCAGGTGCCCGGGCGTGCCCGGGGGCGCCCCGGTGCCCGGGGGTGCCCGGGTGCCCTATAGCCATATAGCTTTATAGCCCAGTTGCCCAGTAGCCCGGTAGCCCTACATCCCTATGATTGTTTTTTTTCTCCGGTATCATGCCATATTTCTAAAATTTGGCGGCACCCCTCACGCAGATCGGCGGGGTCAGGGTCGAAAGACCTATAAGATTTGCCACATTTCTGAATTTCGGCGGCACCCCTCGCGCAGATCGCCAGGGTCAGGGTCGAAAAACACATGGGATTTGCCACATGTCTTGCAATTTGGTGGCTTCCCTCACGCAGATCGGCGGGGTCAGGGTCCAAAAACACAAGGCCTTTGTAACATTTCTGAAATTCGGTGACACTCCTCATGCAGATCGGCGGGGTCAGGGTCGAAAAACTCTTGGGATTCGCCACGTGTCTTGAAATTCGGTGGCACCCCTCATGCAGATCGGTGGGGTCAGGGTCAAAGAACAGATGGGATTTGCAATACTTCAATACTTCGTAGAACAGTTTTTTACACAGCCTGCGCGAGCAAGCTGGAAATGCAGCACCGAATTCAACAATAACATCAACATCTCAATGTGTCTTGCCGATTACTCATCGTCTTCGCGTGAAGTCCCGACGCTGCTTCACGGCGGCGCCAAGGCCTCATGCTTTCGCTCTTGCATTGCCCATTATCCGAGAGAGGGGGCCGGCGACAGGGCGCGGAACCGTTACTTATATACATATATGTGTGTATCTATGTATGCATGTATGTATGTATGTATGCATGCATGCATGCATGCATGCATGCATGCATGCATGTATATATATATATGTATATATATATATATATATATATATACATATATAAATATATTATATAGAGATATATATTTATATATATATAGTTCTGCATGTACATGTACGTGTATATATACATGTAAATCTATGAAAACATGCGCGTAGGCCTCAATTCACAATGTCGGCGCTCTTCGCATGGGTAAAAAGCGGAGCCCCCGGGCTCCAGACTTGGCCACCATCGGGGTGTCCCCACCCCCTCCCCCCAGCGCC